CGCTCCGCGATGATTAGACGCAGGCGTCCTGCTCTGCCGCCCCGGCTCACGCGGAGAAGAAGTGGAGAAGAGATTTAGCAAACTCCAGCGGACACCATCTTTTATGGGACTTTTTTTATTCTCCCAGTCACAAGAACACGTGTCATTAGCGACTCCTCCTGAAACGAGCAGCTGTTCTTTGGCCATTACTGCTCCAAAATTAACCAAGACGGAAGAATTCAATTGCATCCCTCCTCCCAGCCCTGCTGAGTGCGCACGATTAAGGGATTGAGAGCATCTTTCGCTCAGAGTTCACGGGCATCCTAGTGCCTGAGAAGGCACGCACGCCTCGGGTGAACGGTGAGCACAAACGCATAAAACCCTGCCGCTGCCAGGGACGGAGCAACCCAGGAGTGAATGTTATCGGCGGCAGCACCGGTGTCTCGGAGACACTCAAAGCTGCTCGGCAGGAGCACAGCCAACAACCAGGAGGGAGGATAATCTCCAGAAGAGACAGCCCCTTTCTCGCTTCCGTTCTCAATCTCTGCGAGGATATTTCAAGGCCCCCCGAAGAACAAAAAAAAAAAAAAAACCCCCAAGGAAAAAAAAAAAAAAGCACGAGCAGAACCAAGCAAAAATAAAATAAAGAAACAGGACACAGCCACAGATGAGGGGCAGCGCAGGGTCAGGCGACACCTGCTAGTGATGGCCTTGCAAGGCAAGCCTGCAGCTGGGGAAGGGAGGGATCGGCCGTAATTCTATCAACAGCCACAGTAAACAAATAATAAATAACGTGAACCAGTAAACAAAGCTGAGGCATAATCACAGGCTTTGTCAGAGCTAAAACCGAATCCAAATTTATATCCTCACAACTAAAAAAAGTCAGCGCCCATAAATTTACATACCTTTGAGCGCAATGAATGGCTTGTTATTGGAACGGCGGACAATGCGCTGGCAGAACGGTGAAAGCAGCCCTGTTTGGCCACTCGCACCCCTCGTACAGGTGGCCAGCGCGGAGCCGTGCTCACAGAGCTGCATTTACTACCCCGAACGCAGAGCCCTGTGCTCTGCCCTTACGGGGGACCCCAGTCCCCGCACCCTACCTTTCCTTTCCCTTCCCAAAAGAACAACTCCCTCAAGTTACCACCAGAGCTCACACCAGGCTTTTCCAGAAGGCAAAACTGCGGCCTTTCTTGGGAAAAGTCTCCAGGATGCTGTGAAGATGCATGGAGCTGCCTGGAAAAGACCCTGCTTCCACCGCACTTTTTAAAAAAAAAAAAAAAAAAAAAAAAGTATTTTTTTTTTTAAAGAGGCGGAGCTGGGAGCAGGGCTGGGAAGCACAACTCAAGCAGACACATACCTGGGATTTTGACTGAATCTTGGTCAATTCTGTTCTCCTCTCCATCCAGGTGCTCCAAGCCCACCGCTTCTGTCTTCACAGGGGCGTCCTCTGTTGCAGACAAGGTGGTATAGGTGCTAATAACCAGTATTCCCAGGCCAATCCACAGTATAATCTGCACAATGTGCCAGAGCTTCAGTTAGCACAGCAAAAACAAACGGGACTGCTCTGTACAGCATTCTTCATGCAAACAGTGTCTCCAAACAATTCAAAGCTCAGTGCAATTACACATGTCAGTAAGAGGAAGAGAAGAGGAGAGCAATTTAAGAGGAAAGAACAGTAGCTTTTGGCTGAGGTTTGTATTTGGATGTAGAGACATACGAATGAGAGTTTCAGATGCTGGAAGCTGTTGAAAAGGCAACTCCTGTACCAGAAGGGCTCAAAAGCAAGTGGACAGAATATAAGGATAGAAAAAAAATGCATGTGGCAGACAAGAGTCCAGCTGCACAGACTCATTCCCTGGTATTTCCAGCAGCTACATTAGAACACCATGAAATCAGGTCTGGCTGAGAGCAGAGGTGCCCGACCTGTTTACAGCCTAGAAAGGTTTCTAGGGAAGCTGTTGAAAAATTCTTCTTTTTGAGAGCAAGAGTAAGATGTCTACACACAAGTCCTGGTGGCCAGTGCTCAAGAAGCTGCTAAGAATCCTCCCTGATTTCCAGAAAGCTGGGGCCAAATAGAATAAAAACAGAAAGACAGAATCTGGATCCTGTGGAGGGAAGGGCTCTATGAATTTCTCCAACTCAGAAAGGAGAAAAAGTGACCACCACCAAAAAGAACATTTCTACAGCTTATTAGCTAATGATAAATGGATCTAAAAGCATCTAATTTCACATGAGCCTTAAGGAAGAAGAAAAAACTCTCTGCCTTCGACTGCAGAAAAAAACCCATAAATCTAGGAGCGCTAGCAGTTCGAGGGGTAACTCAAGAAGGACAAGCAAGATGACGCGCAACAGCAACAGGGGCAGAGGAACGTCTGCCACGTTTGGTGTCTGGGCTGCCAAATGCCTGCCTGCTCCTCCAGATGAGAGCGGTACCAGTTCAGAGAGCCGAGCGGATGGATTGCTGGCCGACAATGCTGAATGGGGAGATTTAATTAAACTCTAAAGTATTATTTTTACCTAGTTAATCATTGCAGTTGTCACAGTAAGGGCTTCTCACAGAACCTGGTTTGCATGTCAATGCGTCACCGGCACCGCAAACGACTGGTAGGAGAAAGTCCGCAAAAGTTTGCGCTGAAAGAACTGGGCAAAGAAGCGGCACCCTCTGCTAGAAACTCGGGTCCCCCCACAAACTCCTTTTCACAACAGACCATGGGAGCAGCAGGAACCATCATACGCAAAACAGAAAACTCCTCTGCAGTGCTGGGAAGCTGAAAGTTTGCAGCAAATCGGTATTTATGATGCAGCAATTCCCCCCGTCTTTTTAAATACATTCTGCTCTCTGAAACGCCAGGGATCTGGCTTATTTCTGCGGCTCTGCATATGGCAGCAAAGGATCCAAGATAACGCTGCAAACTGCATCTTTTCTCGATGCTTGGAGCTTGCAGGCAGCACGCCGCTGGTTCTCCTCTGCTTTTTGCCAGTTCCCATCCCCACCCCTGCTGCGTGCGTGCTGACTGCAGGCTGCTGGGGAGAGGACACCGCTTTTTCCACCACATGTCTAACAAGAACAACTCGCTATGCGTGCTTCACGAGGCAATCGTAAAAAAAGTCTCAATCTGCAAAGGAAAAATGCTGCTTTGGTACACGATCTTGTTGCTGTCCAGTAGGAACCACACAAGCTGCCTGGCCCCTTTGCAGAGCAGTGCAACACCCAGAGTACCGGTGATTCTGGCCCGGGCTGGGATACAAGCCCACTAGGAATCACAACCTGCGGGACTCATCCTCTTCCCCCAGAATCCTTACCCTACAGCATTTACGTCCCAATTCACAAAAAGCACAACGAAAGGATGCTGCTCAAGTGTGAGAAAACCCAGGAATGGCTACAGGGGACCACTGCTACAACCGGGAGCTGCCGGAGGGAGAAAACTGAAAATAAAGGGGAGAAGTGAAATTGAAAGGAGAAGTTAAAACGTTGGCATCTCCAGGGGAGGGAGGAGAGGGTAACGTTTTCCTCTCCTTCCTCGTGCTGAGGGAGATCGCCCAGAAACACGGGCCAGGGTGGTCAGAGCCTCGAGCCCAGGAGACCCCGTTCTCAGCACACCCCTGCAGACAGACAGACGCCTTCAGAAGGAAAAGGTTGGCAGGACGTGAAGCAGCTCTGGACAAGGGACGAGCAGCACGGCCAGGGAGCAGAGGCCAGACCTTAAAGACGTTGCAAAGGAAACAGAAGTGAAATCTGCTCCCTGCCTTGCTGTGTGGGTGCACAAAGAGCAGATATCCTGCCATCCTGCTCGGGCCAAGAGCAGAGTCAGCAGGTCCCTGCCACTGCTGCCCTCGGCTTGGAGCTCGTCCACTTCCTCCCCTCACACAATCTACAGCCCCGGCAGCAATGCACTTTGCGACTGGAAGGCTGTTCTGGCGTCTTCCAGAAACAACAGCGGAGAGGAAGAGCATTTCCACAAAGAGGATCTATTCTGGTGCCACAGGAACTAGGAGCAACGTGGGAGAGAAGGGAACTGTAGGAAACGGCTGAAGACATAAAATGTTTTGAAAGGATTTTTGTTGTTTCTTATCCTAGTGGGGAACCACGGGCTTGAATGCCTTAGATTCAAACCCCTTTGATTGTTTAACATTTGGAGTTCATCTGTGAGCTTCCCAGAGCAGTGGGTACGGGCACACGTGGCAGTCAAAGACAGGCTGGGCTGTCCATGACCCAGCAGCCGTCCCTCACCTTCAGCTCCCCCCTCCTCCTCACCTACCCCGTCAGCAACTGAAGACCAGAATAAAGAGGTCCGCAATTTGGCTTAATTCCACGGAGATACTTATGACATGGAAAACCAGGCAGTTTGTACTCAAGGGAGCACCAAGGCTAATCTGGCAATCAAAGGAAGAGGAACGTGGGGTGCAAGGACCCGGTGGCTCGAGGAACCAAACACAGGCAGAGGAGTCACCTACTCCCAAAGCGTTCAGCTGAAGAGCTGAGAACCTGGAGCAAGGAGAGGGGCAACACTGCAGAGCAGTTATAAGCCAGAGCCTGATCCCACAGGATCTCCCCGCCTCTGGAAAGCAAACCCTCTGAGAGCAGAGACCCTTCTCCAGAAGCACCTCTCAACATGGATATGGCAAGAGGATGTGCAAACGCCTCGGGCTGCAGCCTCCTCCAACAGGCAGGTCAGCAAGGCAAGGGCCTGGCTCCCGAGAGGAGAGCACAGACGGGAATTTGGGAGAGGAAGTTTACGTGGCCGTTTCCGCTGCTGGTGGCTTTCCCTCGGCCGTCCTTCCTCCCAGAAGATAACTTGAACTTTGTACAGAAGCGTCATTAGCTCAGACCATCTCCTCTAACCACGCCTGAGCCATCAGCGGGAAGCAAAAAAACTGCATTTGTGTGGAGTGACGACATCCTCCAAACTGTGCTGTTTTGGACACCAAGCGCTTGGAGGGACAGAGTCACGGCGAAGGAATGCAGAGCCCCGGTCACTGCCAGGTTCCTCCGCTGCACTACGACAAAGACGCTGTGTTGGAAGGGCTGTACCGACCGAAAACGCCTGCGGTGAAGGTGTGCTGGCCGCTGCGCTACCAGGGGAGGGCAGAGGGGAATCTCTTTTCCATCCGCACAGGAGCGAGACCGGGGGGGTATTTCCTGACCTCGAGCAGCCTCTCCACAGCTCCTCTTCCCAACTGGGACAACAGCAACTCCAGCCTCCCTAGGAGGGGCCTCTCGGATAGGCTTGTGTCAACACTGGGAAGCCAACACCTTCCTGTTAGAAGTTAAACACTCTGTTTACAGACCTCAACGCGACCTTCGGCAGCACTCTGCCAAACCTCACTCTGTCCCCCGCCCCGCTCAAGGCTCCCGGAGGGCAGCAGGACACGGACCCGCACCTTTACAGGAACACGCCTGATGCTTAACCACAAGAAAGGGAACGCTCTCCCCAGTTCACTCACAGTTCCGCACGCCTGACTTCAAGCTTTTTAACTGCTCGTTACCTGATCGTCTTTCCAACACAGCAAGCCTTTCAACCGAGCCACCCCCCAGCCCAGCCCAAAGCTGCTGTCCCCAGCCCCGGCCGGCTGACCAGCGGCTGCGATAATTAACAACTCGCTGGCAGAAGCCGCCCGTGCTTTTTGCTGGCCAGCAAACATCTGGGACTGGCCGCATTCCTTCCCCTGGAACCCTCTTCACCGCTTTTAATGCAACTCCCCTCTTTCGTAGCCTCAGCTTGCACCATCTTCCCAGCTCGGTAAACCTAAACTCCCTGTCTCGCCAGCCCCCTAAGCTGCCCGACGCGGGACTTCGCCGGATGCCAGAGGTGGCCCAATAAAAGCAGCCAGTTCTCAGCAGCAGCACCGCAAGAATCGAGATCATTCAGGCAAGCGTAAGAGCCGGTGTTGAGAAGGTCTGCTGCTTTGGAAGAAAGCTAAAGATGATGGAGGGAGGGAGAACATACATTGTTTAGGCAGGGAAAAGCGGGGAGGGACAGCTATGCCCAGGGCCAGCTCCTTCTCCCCCTTGACTGCCGCTTTTCACGGGAGCGTATTTTGATGGAGTGGAGCGGCTGATCAAAAACAGAAGGGATG